GGATGATGGAGAGTGGCTTGGCAAGCTCCTCTGCCAGCTCCCTCAGTACTCTTGGGTGGATCCCATCCAGCCCCATGGACTTGTGAGTGTCCAGGTGGCATAGAAGGTTAACTGCTTCTTCTGGATTATGGGCAGTTCATTCTGGTCTCCATCCCTGTCTTCTAACTCAAGGAGCTGAGCACCCTGAGTATACTTAGTTATTAAAGACTGAGGCAAAGGCAGCATTAAGTACCTCAGCCTTTTCTTAACCTTGGTGACAATGTTTCCTCCCACATCCAATAAAGATGGAGAGTCTCCTTGGCTCTCCTCTTGTTCTTAATGTTTTTGTAAAAACATTTTCTTATTGTCCCAATGTTTTTACAAATATTAATAACAAGGAGTGCCAAGAATCTCATGGTGAAAAAAATTCTCCTCTTATCGAGGGTCATATATACACTTTTATACACACTGTCACTCGTCTCACACTTTACTAGGCACCACTGAAGAGCCTGGGCTCCACCTCTTTGATAAGCAAGCAGTCTATAGTAGGTCTCTCCAAAGCTGCTTCTGTTCCAAGCTGAATAAGCCTGGCTCCCTCAGCTTCTCTGTACAGCATGTGCTCCAACCTCTGACCAACTTAGCTCTGCCCTCAACTTGCTCAGATTTGTCAATCTTGCCTGTAGTGGGGGCCTCAAAACTGGTTGTGGTATTCCCTATATGGTCCCTTCCTGTAAGAGAAGGACATGCTCCTGTTGATACAGCCCAGGATGCTGTTGGACTTCCATGCTGCCAGGGCACACTGCTGGCTTGGCTTCAGCTTGCTGTCTGCCTAGACCCTCTAGGGTTTTTGTAGAGCTAGTCCACAGCCAACAAGTCCCTGGTCAGTATGGTTGCAAAAAGGTTCATTTGTGTTCCAGATGTTGGAGAAATGAGGACAAAGTTCTTGCCTGTTGTCTTTACTTCTACTTGTTCTGGTTTTATATTAACTTATCCTTTTCCTTTGTCTTTCTGCAGTTAACCCAAGAAATACAAAAATGTTAATTTTGGATGTTTTATATCTCTTCAGTTTGTAGCAGATTTATAAAAAGAATGCAAACTCATCCACTGAGGCAGAGCCTGATAATATACTTCTAGTATACAATTACCAAATTTTCAGCCAATTAGTTTCTTAATGTTCCATTAAACATAGTTCATCTTTTTAAAATGGATGTTAAATGTTGGTTTCAAATACATGTACGGGAAGGTCATCAAATACAGTGTTTAAGTACATTGTGTGATACATTAGAAATAGAGGTCATGTGTGGGTTGATTTCCCCCAAAACTTCAGAACCTAGGTAAAACTTTCACAAGTACTAAAGGGGGAATACTGCTGGGTTTGAGTTCTTCAGTTTTAAATGTACTTGTAGTATTTGAAACTTATGAACATACTGTTCTTAGCTTTGGGAGAGTTGTTTGGTGTTAACTAGCAAAAATAGTAAAGGAAAGATTAGAGCTGTGAAGTTGGATTTGGCTGTGCTATTCTATTGGGTTTTGGTGCTTTTGGAAGAAGGCCTGTAGGGTTGGTCAGAAGAAAGATGCAGCTTCTCACAGAGGAAAACTGTAACAGGATTTCTCAGTTTGCGAATTCTTGACACTATCTTCAGGAAAAAAGAGTGGAAACAAGCTAATAAATGTAAACTGGCTAATAATTCCGGGAGTAGGACTAAAAATGATTGTGCTCTAAACTCTTGAATTAACTAGAGGGAGGGGAGGACATGAGGGAGAACATGAAGTAGTAGCTCAGTTGTTATGACTGGATGCAAACATGAAACTGATTGCTTGAAAGAAACTTCTGTGATAGCTACTATAAGTTTCCATGCTACTACTTAACAAAAAAAGCTTGCCATGTTGTGTCTAGCATGGTGAGGTTGGGGACAGGGCTGTTGTGAAAAATTATGCAGAAGGATTCAGGGAGTTTGATGCCTTTGAGAATGGCTTTGGTACACTTTTCTACTATCCCTTTTCATTTCTAGAATGATAATAAGGCTGCAGTAACTCCTTAGTCCCCTGATCTTTTTGTAGTTTGTATATCTGAGCATGTATTCTGAGTGAAGCTGAGGCCTGCAGTCTGGCTTGTTTGGTTGTTTGAAGGAGCCATGCTTGTCCGATTCTCTGGATAGTGCTTTATTATGAGAAATCAGAGTAAACGAGCAAAGCAAAGATGAACAATCTAGCATGCATGTGTAAATTGGGGG